TTCCTACGCCACTCCGTTGAGTATCTAAGGCAGGCATCTCATCGTCCAAGGCACGCGAACGTTCGGGTTCACCCGGCACCGATAAATCACGATGATGCTCGAATCTTCACAATTGCATTATTTATGAAACTATCAATAGGGTAATTTATTCGCGGGAGCTGGCCGCGCGATTCTTCAACGGCGGTGCCTGAAAGCAGGATTTATCGCCGACCGGGCGAAAAATGCAACGCTTTTTAATCCGGAGTCTGGTGTCCGGCGCGGTCGAGTCGCGCGAACCTACAATGTTCCCTGTGATTTATCAATCGGCTCGCGGAGGATTAACAGTCGCCGCGGAACCGGTAATAGTCGATCGATCGATATTAAAAAAAAAAAAAAAGAGAGAGAAACGACAACTTTGAACGAGCAACACCGCGTGTCCGCTAAATTAATGGATCCACCGGCACCGGCGAGAAAGAGTTCTCGATTAATCGATTAAAATCGTTCCCCCCCGGGGGATATTCGCTCGTGGCGTCTGTTAATCCCTCTTATCTCGCGTCTAGTCTAGAGCCTGGCAGCCTGGTTTATGGAGCCCTGTACTTGTTACTTAAAACACGGTTTTCGTAAAAACGAGTCGAAAGCTTGTCGGCTTTGTTGGCGTTTTCGTGACTGAACGAACCACACGGTAGATCGTTAAGGCGAGTCGCGCGCAACGCGACTCAATGATTTATCAATAGCTTTGCGAAGGATTTACAAGCGGTAGAGGACTGGTAATGAAAGCCAATCGGCCGAGCCTTTTAATCCTCTTACATCGTTCTACGTCGCTTCTGCGGAAGTGGCCGCGCCGATCGTGTTCATCTGGTGCTAACAATTAGATTCTTTCTCGCAATTCTCATCACCTCTCTTTCTTTGTCACCTCGATTTCGAGAGAGTGTATATCGTTGATAAATTCTTCAAACTGTTGCCTCTCTATATAAATTCTTTATCGAAGTAGTTGGTCGTTATTCGAGTAATTGGTCCTCCGCTACTCGACTTGAGCGTATTTCTACTTTCTTTTATTATTCGTTTACTTCTTTTTATTATTCGTTTATACTTTTTTTTATTATTCGTTTGTGTTAATTAGTACTTAGTTAATAAAGTTATTAATACTTTTTTTTATTATTCGTTTTTAAGTTAATTATTATTTATTCTTTACTGGAAGGAATTAGTGTCTACAATTTGGAAACTCGGGGAAAGAATAGGAGACTAGCAAGATAGTAGTGGAGATTGGAGACTCAACCAATTATCCTCCTAATTGAGGTGATTTTCGCGCGTTGGATGTCGCACGTGTGTACAACTGTGGGCGATGGGGTCACGTGGCACGCGACATAGCTACGTGTAGGCGTGAAACGCACGGTGTGGCTCTCCGTACGCTCTCCGCGTTTCTGTATAAAGTCGGGAGAACCGCGGCGCGTCACCTTCCATCTCTGTTCGTCTCTTTCTCTTACACTCGGTGTTTCGTGACTGGCTGGCATTAATTATGTGTCGTGCCCTTTAATACGAATCCTGGCTTTATGAGCGACGCGCGGGAACACGAAGGAAAGAGAGAAAGAAAAAAAGAAAGAAAGAGAGAGAGAGAGAAAGAAAAGAAAAAAGGGGAATGAGAGCGCAGGAGAAGACAAAAGGACGTTCCCGGGGACGGAATTATTTTTTCGCGTCTGGTCACTGGACCATGGAATCCTCTTTCTCCCTTCTTCGTTGCCCTGTTCCTCGTCTCTATTTCTCTGCGTGTCTTCTATTTCGTCGGAACGATATTTATTCGGCGTTCTCTGACGAGGGTCCAGCTGTTTTCGTCCATCCGTGATTTCTGTGAAACGACGAGAGTTTGATTGCGGTCCGGTTGACTGATTGGACGGTCCCGAGTTTGGACGCTCGAGTCACGCTTGCGAAAAATATTCGCGAATCTAGCTCTTCTCTCCGCTCGATTCGCTCTGGATGCTGTAACGATCCTCTCTGTCTTCTCTCTTTCTCTTGCTTTTTTTCCCTTTCTCATTCCTTTGGTTCTTTCGCGGCACGAGAAAACGGTAACCGGTCGAATTCGAAACGAAACGCGAACCACAGGGACGACGAACGATGGAGCAAAAAGGAGAAACGACGATAAAGTATAGAAAGGGAGCGTTCACAAAAAGCAAGGGAAAATCCATCGATCACGCGAGGCGATGCAAAGACACACACGGGGGAGAGAATGGTACGAATGGTCGGTTGCTCTATCTGGCGAGGATCTCTCATCCGGGGCCGTGTGTCATCTCAATCGTCCCGGCCGAGGAGAATTCCTTCGTGTTGGTGCGCGGCCGTTTCAGCTAATAAAATCATCTGCATCCGGGCCAGAAATTATCTGACGAATTCATCTGCTTATCGAGCAATAAAATGGCCCTTCTCGCGCGTCCGCCTCTGCCCGATGCCTATCTCTTCTCTCCACCTTCTCTCCTGGTCCATTCCACATGTCTCGCGTAGGTGCCTAGACACCGTCGTGGCGCCATTCCAGTCGAATCTTTCCTGTACGAACACACGTACTTGCTATACACGCGTGCATGTCCTTCCCTTGCTTGACTGTTTCTTTTCGTTTTTTTTTTATATCTGACCTGTTCGACACTCTGGACTGACGCCGTACTCCTTTACGGATTCGAGTATCGGGTCGGGAGGGTAGGGGAGCAGTGTAATAAGAAATGTTTTTTTATATAGAAATCTTACATAGAAATCTCGGAGCCTTCGCGAGCTTAGGCTCGTTCCATGATTTTACTATGTTGGTATTTGTTGGTTGAAGTTAGCTTTGGAACGTCCAAGAAAAACTGCGCGGGAAGAAAGATCTCGAAGAGAGTGAATATTTTATTATTATTTTATTATTTATATAAATTAAAAGATTCTCAGAGAGAGTGTCTCGGTGTATCGCGACGCGAGAGGAAACTAATGTTCCGATCTCTCATTGTCGGGGCAGTAAAGTTCTCCAGTGAAAAGGTGCAAGTATATAAATGTTATAAAAGAAACGTTAATTCCGTTGCGTTAAAGTTATTATTTATTGATACAACGTAATCTCAGGGCCGAGATCAAGGGAAGATTGCTTAGTCGGCCGATATTCACCCGAAACTGCGCAGGAGATTCCTCGTCGCATTTTATTATCTCGATCGTTCATAAATTTCGTTACAATACAAGTATAAAGTATCCACCGCCTCCGCGATACGAAAAAGGTCGAATCTTGGGGTCCGGAAGGTATCTTCCCGTGCAGCATTGTCATTCGGCCAACTTTTCAATAATCAATTATGCGACATTAAAATCGTATATTTATGAATTCTCTCTTTATGAATCGTCTATAGAAAGGTTGACAAGAACCGAAATCAAAAAGTAAAAGAAAAAGAAAAACGATTCTGATGTTAAAATCTGGTATGATAAGGAGCCAAATTATTTTCGATCGTTTCGAAAATTTCGAAACGAGCAGGTGTAGATGATTCAGTACCAATGAATAAACCAGACAGTCTAATATATCGTGTCATTAGTATATTTAAGATCTTTGTAAAACAAATATTATAATATGAGGAAGGCCGTGTTTCTCTCTGATAATCTAAGCACATATATAACGGAAAGGAAAGAAACATGTATAGATAATTATAGTTGCAATACTCGAATTACGAACTCGTTTCGTGCCCTCGAAAATCACTCGCTTCTCTTTCTGTATTATTATCTTTATTTACAGGATATCACACGTAATAGAAACAATATTGATATATTATTAATACATTATAATATATATTGTACCTATAATAATATATATTATATTTACATTATTAATATATATCAATGTATTATTTCTATTAATAGAAAGGTAATACAATATTTTACAAGTGGAACGATCATTGGCTTTCCCATCAACCAATTAAATGAGGTTTTCTGTCTTTCGTTCGATGACATTAACTAAATAATATCGAGTGATAGTAATATATACAGTATTATTTCTTTATTCGTATTTCTATATACGATTTCTTTAAATTCCTGCTTCTTCGCGCAAGCCACGCGGCTTGGAAAACGTCGTTTCGCTTCGCAAGTTTTAAGTAGTAGTATCTATCATATACCTCACAGTAGAAGTTGTGCTTGAGGAACAATATCAAGCCGGAACTCGTCGCTAAGAATCGTTCTTGGCGCTTCGCGATTTAGAAATCGAGGCACGAACGTGGATTACATGAACTCCAAAGACTTTGCAAATTATTTACCCAATTCGTAACGCCGTGATTGCTAGGACACGATTTTTCGTGTTCAACAACACGTGACACCTCTCTTATTTTTACTTTGTCATTAATTCTCGCTTTCTCACACGCCTTAATATTTTTTTTTTTTTACTTCTACATTATTACAACGCCCATAGTTCTTGATTTAAGATTCGTATTTACAATCGTCGCACCTCGCAGTCTACGTAGAGGTAACTTTTGTGTTTGGTTCATGGCAACCCGAATTCCCGACGATTATCACGCGTGCAGTATTCCGTTCGCGATTAAACTCTTGCGATATCAACTTGTTAATATAATTATCATCTTGCCATACTCCTCTGTCGACACAACGACGACAGTCGTTGCAAATAAATATTAACAATAACTCGGAAAATGTTTTTCACGTTCTAACTTTGGTCGCGGGTAGTATTATCTATCTTAATATCTTATCGACGAATCAACGTTTCAATACAAGCTCACCGCAGAGTAACTTAAATTTCCAATAAATCTTAAGTTAACCTCTTGCGCTGGAATGACGTGCCACGCACGTCGAGAATTTTTTGAAATGAGAATTCAAAATTGTGATATTTTGTCAATTTTAATTATATTATCAAGTGAAACAAATAGACGAAACAAGTAATAAATTTATTACTTCTCAATAATTTCTATCCAGTGATATCATACCGACGAGTTCGAAAAGAAAGCGACGAATTATTGTATACGATTCGGTCACTCGTTATGGTCCGCGTCAATCGGTTGCCAGCGCAAGTGGTTAAGTATCTTCCTCTCAAGAAAAGAAAAAAAAAGAAAGAATTTAATTGATAATAATAACTAAAGCCTTTGCCAGGCATACTGTATTTACCTATTTAAGTATTTAATTATACTCACGAGAGAGACTAATCGATGATCGCTAAATTTAATCAAATTAATATTTATCCTAATTTCTATTATCCAGTTGAATGTGCCTTCTTCAGTTGTTTGGAGATCTTTCACGGATGCGCGTGTCCTTCGAAACTTCTTCCTGAACGTCCGACGAGACTCAATTGATTGTCCATTTCTATACTTGATGGTTTACAGTGGCTTTAAGTTCCATAAGGGTCCGATCGGTTCTCGACAAAGAACTAGTAGGCAGTCGCCTGGTGATGCATCAACGGGTTGAAGTGGTGCGGGCCAAGATGATGGGGTGGCGGTGGGCCCGGCAATGGACTATGCTGAGGACCAACCGTTGGCGGCTGACAGACGTACCATTCGGTCAACTCTGGCCCTCTGGTCGAAGGATGACTCGACGGTGGATTGGTCGTGGTGGTCGTCGGGACGACCGGAGGCGGCTGAGGAGACTCGGTGTGCCCGGTCACGGACAAACTACCCCCGCTGCTGCTGCTCTCTTCACCCTCGCTTTCATAGCCCCCTCCAATCTTTCCCTCGCCCAGGGTCATGCCGTGCACCTGGAACCAAGAGGCGGAGCTTAACGTTAGATACACTCTCGGGGAAATTTCTAGCTTAGTAGCCGAGCCTTCCAAGTCGCTGCTCTCCCTAAGGGTTAGAAGCCCGATGAACGTTGTATCGGTGGTAGAGGGGCGAGAAAGATGGAGAGAAGACAGAGAGATGAGAGAGAGAGAGATACTTTGCGAGTTGCAACTGTAAACGAACTCGGGTGAAGGTCGATTCTGATTGTTAAAACTTCGTGTATACCTACTCCTACTGCGACCGGTCAAAATGATTGGCCCTTAAAAAGAAAAGTAATTTCTTACACTTGAATGTACATACTAGTCAACTTGGTATCAGCAGCAGGTCCTCTATATCACTCTCACTTTCGGACTCCCTTCTTTTGCCCTCTACGTTTATTCAAGATATTCTCTAATTCGTCGGATGTGTCAAAAAGGTCATCATCTTTTTCCATCATATTTTCAGTTTCAGAAAGTTTCTGTTCATTGGCATCTGAACAGTCTTCGTCTATGTTAATTATTTTTATTCTAACAACCTTTTTTTTTTTTTTTTTTGAATACCTTGATATTTTTAGGATAAATATTTACGGAATAATACACTGAATACGAAATACAAAATTTAGGTCAAGGTATTGCGAGTTTATATTTTCTTTCCTCAAAGTTGCACTTGAAATCTAAAGAAAGTACTTTAGAACTTTTATACTACGATGCTCTTTTTTTTGGAATTGTAAAATGTCATTGTGCCGCCTGTGGCCTGCGTATACTCTTATAATGAAACATTGTTATCAACCATTCACCTGCATAACTTAATAGCACCTCCACTAGATAGCTGGATTGTATAGTTTCAGAAGAGTAAATATCAAATTTTTCAACCTCTTTTCAACATCAAATTGACCGGTTATAGGTAGGACAGGCTACATATACTTCTCGGAGGAAAGAAAATAAGAGAAGTGAATATTGAAAAATTTATTGTATACATATTTTAGGAAAAGTGGTAAAGGTAAATAGCGTTGTAATTGCATGCAAAAGTTTGAAAACAGTCAGTTTGACTGGTATGGTAGGTTTAGTATTAAAGACAGTTGAAAGATCCAAGGATGATATTTAATTTCGGTTATATTATTTCATATTATAAAACTAGAAGAAGAAAATAGAAGAACACCGTTGACATAGACACGTTGACCTTCGAATGGATTATAAATTTACGTTTCCATGTAGTTGGAGCGAATTTTCGATCGCGGTAAGTTATCGTTTCGAAGATCAAGCGAGTATCCACGAGCAAAATGAGTAGATACGCGTTGGCGAAACCGAAGGAACCCGGGATCAGACAGACGAGGATCAAATCTTTGGCCTATCTCACTCTTTCTAGCCGTTCGTTCATAATTCAGTGAGCAAATCTCGGCGACTGCCTTCCGCGAATCACCGGCCGGCGAAAAGCGTGGAGAAGCGAAAAGGTGCTCGCTTCTATCCGACGAACCTATCGCGCACGTATCTCGGGAGTTGCCGGGAGTTTTGGACGGTTCTGCTTCTCTTTTCGCCTCTGTCTTTCTCTTTCCTTTCTGTGTGTGCCACAGATAATTTCCTATTAAGATTCCGTAGCCGTTCGTGCGTGAACCTTTGCGCGCCCGGATACCCGCGTTCATTTTTTTTTTTCTTTTTGCCCGTACCGAAATGTCTACTAGTGTGAAACGAAATGGCAAACGCGATAGGACCCTTCTCGATACATACCTTACCTTGATTACGCGTTTACGTGCATGCGTGCAAGACGATACGAAGGGTGAACCGAGTGGACGCATTCGACAATCGCGCGACAATGGAACAACCAGAGGGTCGTTAGGCTTTCGAATTTAATTCTGCGTCAAGTAATAATAGAGAGAACAAAAGTACGTGTAGTTATAAGTAAAATAACTTCGGTGTATTCTAGTGTGCAGTTTTGGATGAAAGCGTATTTCTCTAGAGTTCGGAGTTCGTTCGAGTAATAACTTCTTTATTTGGAATTTTTCTATTTTCTTCTTCTTTACTGCGACGAATCGTCAATGATAACTTTGAACTCGTCAACTTGCAATTTTTATATAAATTATAAATATATTTTGTATAAATTATAATCATATATTATAAATATATATATGAATAAATATATATTAATAATATATTATATAAATTATTATACATATATTATAATTACATAAATTGTTATACATATATTATAATTACATAAATTATTATACATATATTATAATTAACATATATGTATAAATTATAATCATATATTAATAATATATATATGAATAAATATATATTAATAATATATTATACAAATTATTATACATATATTATACATTATTATATATTACATATATATGTACATTATAATTATATAAATATATACATATATATGTACATTGTAAATATATAAATGTATAAATTTCTAGATAAAAGAGAATCTAATTAACAGATTGATAGTCCCTTGCAGTAGAATTAATAGAATTGCAATACTAATAAGAATTGGAAGCAGATTGATTGACAGTTTGACAGGCAGGTTGATAGCCATGTTGGGTTGAACTTAAATATTACATACTTTCATATGCTTGCGCAACGAGCTAGGGTGGGTATAGGATTTATCACAGCCGGTAACTCGACAATTGTAAGGCTTGTCGGACGTGTGGACGTGACTGTGCTTCTTGCGGTCGCTGCTGTTCGCGAACCGCCTCTCGCAGCCAGAGTATTCGCACTTGAACGGTTTCTCGCCTGGAAAAAAGAAGACGGGAATTAATGACTGTGTGTAATTGAGTCGGTCGTATTCTTGTCTTGGGCACGATAATTGGAAACTGCTTCGGGGTACCAGGGGAAACTAATAGCCCGGAATAGAAATGCAACTGCTACATGCGTCTTCTCGGCCGTTAACGCATAAGATTTCGTACAAGTAATGGAATTTATATAAAATTCGGAAAAAAATATATCTCTATATACGGTGGAGGTACTCGTTTGTACGAACAAGTTATCACCGAGTTCTCATTATCCAAATTGCAATTCAGTTAAACACGTAGAAACATACATATATTCTTACTGACAGTTAGACCAGATGATTAGTCACGTATAACGAAGAGAAAATGACCGACAATTATTTCATTAATACGTTAAACACACTTTCCCAATGAATGCATAAAAATCCACGGACAAATACATTCCATTGGTCATGGAGCAATTTAATTCATTCGAGCTAAGAGACGCCCTGATTAGGCGACCTCGAACATCTTGTTCCCCGACTAGTTCGCACGAACGAGGTTCCACCGTTGTTTCAAAGAAAATGCAAATACTATCTGCGCAACACGATCATCGAAAGTTGTTCCCAGTGAAAAGCAGTTGCATTTCGAACCGGAACGGCCGGGCTGTTCGCAATTACAATTATCACGTGGCTGTGGAAGCAACGGGGGTGGCGGAACACGGAAACACGCGCGGGAACAGGAAAAATATTTTCTCCGGGGCAAAGAGGAAAAGCTCGCGGGCTTCTCGCTGTAGCTACAATAATAGGTAGCTGGAACGCGATTACATCGTATCGCGGACCGTTTCATCACGATTTCGTGGATATCTTGATGAGCACCGGTGGAACATTCTCTCCGGCGGCGGCAACAGCGGTGGCGGTGGCGGTGGCGGTGGCGGCTCGTCTTGGCCCCGGGGGCGAAGAGAGGCGCAATGATATCGAAGAGATAAGCTCTCCCCTGCACACGAATGGCCGCCGTCGTCGGGGCGCAACGAGACCGTGTGGCGTGACTCTTATTTATTTCCACCGGAAGTTGACTGGAATATATTTTACCGTCGGCTCGCCCAACCCCCGGCCCACCCCCGCGCCGCACCCCACCGTCCGTAGACTCCCTTTTTCCGGCACTTCCTCCTGGCGCTCTCTCGCAGAAGTGCGGAGACGCGAGAACAGGAAGCGCAAACTTGGCGGATTTTTTATGGGGAAAATGGTGTGGCCAACTTTGTTGCCCTCCCTCGCTCGAGGGAAGCTGCGGAAAAAAAGGGAACGTCGCTCAGGGATTCGCGTGATCTTGAGTCGGTGGGACACTGAAACGAAAATCCGTTTCGCGTTTCGTTTGGACATGTCTCATAATGATTAAATTCAGGGTATTCATAAGATCAACATCACCGATGACCATTAGCTTTAATAGAAAAATAAAGGTTAAATATTTCATCAATGAAATATAAAATTTTTAACGATGGATGACAAATTATTAATAAAATAATAAATTAATTAATAAAATAATTATTGATATTAAAGTTCAAATAATTTCAATTGTATGATTTTTTAATAACGATAAATTTAAAAATTTATTCATCATAAAATTTGAAATAAAATATAATATCAATGAAATAATTGTAATTATAAATAATATAATAAAATTATGAAATGAAATGAAATTGAATATAGTGAATTTGAATCTGGAAATGTTTATTATATTTCATGTTGAAATTTCGAAATTATTATATTTTTTGTTGAAATGTTCAATTCTCAAAAGATTCTCTTCTCAACGAAACGTCTTATCTTAATTTATTTGCTTTCTTATTGGAAGCCACAGCGGAAAGAGTCGATTTACAACTTGATACACTTTGCTCTTGTCTCTTCTTCGTTAATAGAAGATTTACAGATTTAACAGCAATTACTCGCAAATATTTTTATTCCAATTTGTAATTAGAAATTGAAACGATCAGACTTGGTATCTGTGCAACAGAGATTGGATTTGTACACGAATGGATGTAACGTGTTCACGGAGTAAGACTTATCAGCGTGTTTTTTAGTTGGGAACGAATCTCGAGTCAGTTTTCACCGACGAAGGATTGCCGTCGAGCGACAAAACGGTAGTAGTACTCGTAAATCACTTCTAGCGCGTTGCTATCTCAGTGAAACTTAAATGACTCGATCAACATCAAGGCGTAATTAAAATAATAAACGCGCATTCGCGTTTCACGTTTCTGAATAATTCAAGTCGCGGCGGCCGCGATAGGCAAACGGCGGGATCCATTTTTCTAGCCGGTGGTATCGCGAGAAAAGTCCTAGCCGTCGACGCGGAATAGTTACGTACAAAGAAGCGTGATGGGTTTCCGCGTACGTGCGAGCGCCGAACGTCGTTATTCATCTCACGTGTGAAAAGCGCGATAACATTGCCATGTTACAGTGACGTATCGCCGCGACACAGATTATATTTAAATCGCTCGGACGTGGAGTGTGGGTACTTATGGCAACGGCGTCATAAGAAGGCGTCTTAAATATTTATGAAGTTGGAAAGATAGCGAGCTCTCGCGCCTTGTGTCGCCGTCTTATCTGACGTTTCACATGACTATGCCTCAACCTCCCCTCCCGACGTGACGCCATCGGTGAGATTTCAACGTTGTTCGCAATTTGCGCAGGATATACGCTGCTGCTGCTCGATACGTCACATCGAGAAACTTTATTGGAGAAAATTTACGACCCCTGTTTATCAGCTCGAATATTTCTATTAGAAGATTATTTAGTATGTACTCTTATTATGGAAGAAGACGGTAGTTTTTGGTAATAAAATTACCTGATATATATATATATATATATATGTTCTTTTGTTTGAATGATTGAATTTTTTCATATATCTTATTTTCTTGCCTTCGTGCATCATCAATGGCCAGAATGACCAATTTGCAATTTTTGTTGGATATTTTACAGATGTAAAACAGTGTATCTTTAGAGATTTAAATGATTTCTCGTAAAGTGTACAAATAAAAATTTGTGTACTTCGTCGTGTATTGTAAAGTTTTCTATTTCTTTTTTTTTTTTAATTTAACATCTCTGATGGAAATTTTACGTTTTAATCGCCCGATAGGTCTAGTGTTATATTTCAGTCGTTGGTAGTTCTAGAGTTAAATGATCAATTCACGAACTTCAACACAACCTGCATCGAGTCCAAATTCGAAAGAAAGATGCAAAGACTTTCGTATTTCGTTATCGCATAGTTTGTTCCATTGTTGCAGAATCTCGCACGTGAGAGTTCTCCGTTTCGCTTGATTCATCGCGAACGTTCTTCACCTACTGATTCGCACCTCCTCCAAGAATCAATCGAGGGAGACGAGGGTTTTTCGAGCCTAGGTGCCAACGATGCTCGGTTATCCCTGTCCCGCGCGTATAAAAGGGATAATGTGTCTCTGGGATTCTGTGGCGCGCTCCTTCCAAAAACGGGGACGATTAATAACTTTTCAAATCTGTCCCCGGCAGGGTCGTGAGCCCGTCGGGGCCGCTTCGGTAGCGAGCGCGTTGGCAAATAAATAGCAGATAAATAAAAGCTCGCGTCTCTCCTACGTCGTGCATTCTGTCGTGCGCGCGCGGGGTTGCGTGTGCAGATGGCAACAATATGCCGTGAAATATTGCCCCCGTTGGTCGTATGCGGGGCTCCGCACGCGTGTGCGTGTCTCGTCCAATGAGAGGAAGTCTCGATACACGTCTGATCTCCGAGAAGAAGGTTGAAAGATGTTTTGAAAAATTTTAAGGAAACATTGATATCGCGACGGTGAGATGGTTAAAAACTTGGTAAAGTTGACGTTAGGTAAAGTTGTATGGGAGGAAATTTAATTCGATACGTTGTTATTTTTCTTGCTATACTCGTGTGATTCGATCCATAATTGTGATACATACAGTATAATACTAATAACATATTCGGTATGGAAATTAATTTTCATTAAACATTTTCCTATTATTTTCCTAGGATTTTCGATTCAAACTGGGATCGATCCGAAAGCTGGAAGAATACATTGTGCCATATCTTTACGATTTTTCTCTCGCCTGAGGGATGAACTAATTTCTACGTCAATTCTAGCACTTTCAATTTTAAATGTCTCTGAGGTTCAAGAACGATCCGACCTTTTGATTTCCTTGCGCAAAAGTGTCCTGCATAATGGTAATAATATCGGCAGTGAAACAGCGAAGCGAAGCACACAGGCACATTCACGAAAGTGCATTGTACGAAAGGGAAGAGTAACGCAAAAGAGTAAGCTTGCACGGGGGACACGTAGACGCGTATACACATAAAGTGGAGATTCATGGTGCAGCGGGTTCCATACAGAGAGAGAGAGAGAGAGAGAGAGAGAGTGTGTGTGTGTGTGTGTGTGTGTGTGTGTGTGTGTGTGTGTGTATCGTGGCCGAGGCAAAAGGGAGCCCCGAAGAGCAGTTCCCGAAGGGCAGTGTGTAGGCACCGTGTTATGACTTTCAGAATGGGGAGGCACAATGGCCCAGATCCGCGCCGGATAAAATAGTTATTATAATCGTTTTGGCTACGGCCACGATCGAACAGCGCTACGAGAGCGCGAGAGAGATAGCCGAAACTTTGTGTGTGCACGCGTGTGCGTTTTCAATTCGTATAGAGGAGCCGATGCAACGCGAATTCTCGGGGCTCACGATGCACCCACGTCCCGAACTCGGATAGTCTCCCAGCTCTTTCTAAAGAGAGCAGCTTGACGTAGAAATGACTGGATCAGAAAAAAATACCGATGCCAATCGGAGCTCGACGAGCTTTGAATCACATTCGCGCCACTACTGTGCTTGTAGAACTTGTTACTGAGAACGAAGATTCGTAATTTCTAGTCATATGAACACTAGAATTCTCGAAGATGCTAAAAACGTTGTTGGGAAGATAGTTATTGGTAATATTTAGCAATTTCGTGATGCCTACAAACATGACCTAATCACGATATACTTTTACGATGTGCCTCGCATTTTTTTTTACATC